GGAGAATATCATTCTAAGTGAGGTAAGTCAGAAAAAGAAAGAAAAATACCATATGTAGAATCTAAAAACAAAACAAAACAAAACAAAAAACAAACAAACATAAATACAAAACAAAAACAGACTCATAGACATAGAATACAAACTTGTGGTTGCCAAGGGGGCAGGGGGTGGGAAGGGACAAACTAGGATTTCAAAATGTAGAATAGATAAACAAGATTATACTGTACAGCACAGGGAAATACATACAAGATCTTGTGGAAATTCACAGCAAGAAAAAAAAAGTGACAATGAATATATGTATGTTCATGTATAACTCTACACAGGAATTTGACACAACATTGTAAAATGACTATAACACAATAAAACCAAAAAACAGTAAAAAAAAAAAAAAGAATCTCCAAGCATCAGATATTTAAGTTGGTTTTTCATGGTCTAAAATGGATGATGCAATCTATTCCATTCCCAAAATCATTAACATTTTGAAGTCAATGACTCACTCATTTAGCTTCAATTACATTAGAAAAAGTCGTAACAAATTCCCTCTATTGATCTGTTATCCAGATTTGACCAGGTACTGTGCACATCACTACCTGACTTCTCTGTGCAGCTTCTTTCTCTGGTTTACAGAGAGCAGACAGAGCACCCAGATGGGCCCCTAAACCCTCCCTGCTGCCCCACAGCACTGACTCTGCGTCTCCAACCCACGGGGGTGAAGCCCGCCCAGGACGCCGCCCAGGGAGCCACTTCACAAGTCCCAGGTCCCGGGGTCCCGGGGGTGGAGTCTGAGTGGGGAGGACAGGCGCTGAGGGAGGGCCCTGGGTGACTGTGGATGTACAGGTGTCAGGAAGGACGCTGCAGAGTCAGACAGGATTAGCGAATCCAAGGAAAAGGGCGTTTCAGGAAGGACAGACGGGGAATCCAGTGAGAGTATGACTTTACCTGAGAAGGGGCCATTCTCGAGTCCTTTTCTGTCCTCTTCCTCCTCTCTTGGGCTTCTTCCTCAGGGAACATGAGTCTTTAGAAGTCAATCCTGAAAAGTGGAAAGAAAGATGTCTTTTAATGCTGAGAATCAACACATCCCTCCCTGCGCCACAACCACACACACAGGGGAGACCTCACTATGTGGAACAGACAGTCCTCTGCTGCCCACTGTCACAGGAGGGACTCGGGACAGGAAACTCCACACACAGACCAACAAGGGAGTTTCCCCACACTGTCCTCAGATCACCCTCCCCTCCTGGTGAGCTCCTCCCCTACACGGCAGCAGTGGGCGCCTCAGCTGGACCCGACAGCCCCCTTCAGGTCACAGAGTAGGCCCTGATCCATCCCCACGCAGAGCAGAGCCCCCTCCCTCTCAGCCCTCAGGATGGGAGGACTGAGTCAGGATGCTCAGTGAGGGAATCAGACACCCCAGGTGATTGGACCCCACCCAGACTATATGAAAGGGAATCTGTGGTCAGGGGTACAAAACATATATATGCAGAATGCCTCATCGCTTTTACAGGAAGCCTGGGTTAACTGCCACTCACAAGGAAAGCCTAGCTCATTTTCTTTTTCTTTTCCAGCTTAATCGAGGTATAACTGATGAGTAAAAATGGTGCACATAAAAACTATACAATGTGATTATTTGACAGACGTATACACTGTGAAATAATTATCACAATCAAGTAATCTACACTTTCATCAACTCATAGATACCATTTTGCCTCTGAGTGGTGAGAACACAAGTGTTACTCCCTCAGCAAATTTCAACTATATAGAAACGTGGTCTGAATAACTACAGTCAGCATCATGTAGGTTAGACCCCCCCAGAACTTACTCATTTTATTCATTTTATATGTACAAGTTTGCAACTTTTGACCAACATCTCCCCATTTTTCCCACCACCCAGCTCCTGATAACAAGCATTCTACTCTGTTTCCGTAAGTCTGACATTTCTAGTTTCCACATTTATCTGTCTTTCTCTGTGACACTTAATTCACTCAGCAGGTTCTCTACGTTCATTCATTTTGTCATAAATGGCAAAAACTTTCATTTATGGCTGAATAATATTTCATTGTGCCACACAAACACACACCCCGCTGTCCTTATCCATTCTGCTGTCGACAGACATTCTGGTCCTTTCTACATCCTGGCTGTTGTGAATAATGCAGTAATGCTCACTGGGGTGTGGATATTTCCCTCAAAACATAGGTTTCGTTTCCACTGGGTGTCTAGCCAGGGTGGTTCTGACAGACTGTGTGCCTGTTCTTTTCCTAATTTATTGAGGAAACTCCATATTGTTTTCCACAACAGCTGTACCACTTACATTGCCACCAACAGTGCACAAGCAATCCCTGTTCTCTGCATTGTGTGTGTGTGCGAGCGTGCACCTGCATGTTGGGAGACAGACAGGGAGAGGAGAGTGGAGTAACCAGCACCGGCCTGGCAACAGGACAGTCTCATACACCTTCCCGAGTATGAGCCTCTGTACTGCAGATCGCTGTGGTGTTGCTGGACCTCTCATTCTTGGAACCATCTTTCCCGACATCACAGGACTTGATGTCTCCTGTCAAGCTGTGTCCAGAGACCCCAGCTTAGCAAGACTTCCCTAATGAAAACCTCCTGCTATTTGAAACTTTGGTAAGAACAAGAACTAAGATCTGGGACAAATTCTGGCGTTTGAAAACAGAGAACAGGAAAGCTCCCAGGATGAGGCTGGAGGCACGGGCAGGGTGATGACACCGGGCACAGAAGCCACAGTGAGGATTCTGCATTTTGAGACTATACCATATTTAGAAGAGAATGACATAAGTTGATTACAGAAGACCACCAAAGCTTATTCCATAAGTTAATAATTATTTACAGGAAAGTAGAAATTGTATGTACTAAGATTTATCCCAAGCTATGGGAAGAATTACATGTAAAGAAGTAAGAAAGGAAAAGTAAATAGATTAAAAAAAAAACACAACACACACAACACTGTCAATGTTCCTTTAAAAGGTACCATGTGGTGACAGAGTCAGTCATTTCCTGCCCCGGTTCCCTCCCCCATGTCAGGAAAAGGGAAGGGGGCAACCCACAGCTAACTGAACCAAGGCACCGCCCCCAGCTGAACAGGGTTTGCAGATGGAAGTTAACTTCTCACACAAATAATTACAAAATGCAAAGTCCTACAGACAGGAGGTTTGCGATTCTGATCCTCATCTGTATAACTTAAATTTTAAACTTACTAGATTCTAAAGCCACAAATCATAGATCACAACCTAATCATCCACATCCCAGCAGCTCACCACTCACCTGCCTCCAGTTCCCCCGTCTCTACCTGCACTACCACGTGTTTCCACTTCATTCTGCTTATCTCATTTCTTTCTTTTTCGCTTGTTTTTGTGCCCCTCCACTCTCCTGCTGTGTCTGCCCTCCCCTTCTTCCCTCACTCCTGTGCTGCCCCACTCTTGCCCTGTGCCCCTCTTGTTGCTTTTTCTCCCCAACCTGACTGCCCTAAAGCTGCACGTATTTCTGCTTCTTCCCCCACCTCTGCTCCCTCTCTAGCCTCCGAGTTACACCCCTTCTATCCTGTTACCCTCCCTTCCTCCCCACTCTCTGGCACCCCCAGGTACCTGTATTTCCATCCTGTTCTCTCTCTTCCTGTCACTAGCTTCCCTGTTTCTCTTCCAGCACCATGTTGCTTTGAAAGCCAAGGTTCCACCTCTTTTGTCCTCTCCTGGACTGTGCTAAGTGCCTCACCAATGTCTCCTCCTCCCCCTCCCGCTGACCCAGGGCCCCGCTCCCTACGTTGCTCTCCAACCCCTGGAGACTCGGCTTTTTAGTTTACTTCTCTATTTTACCCACCTGCTACATTCAAGCCTTAATCACTTTGATTTTACTGTCTCTTTACAAGGGCCTCAGCCATTCTCTACGTCTCCATTAGTCCTCCCTGATTCTTACCTCAGTTTTTCTGTTTCTCAGTCGCTCAGAGTCTGCTTCTCCTGATCCTCCTCGCCCACGTATTTACAGGGATGCCGACTGAGTAAGATGCCCGCCTACTGGAAAAGACCGTTTTCCAGCGGGGTGGAATTTGGGACGTAATAATACTGAGGGGGTCACACGGCTGACCCCGGTCACCTCCCCCAACGCGGGGTGGGGGAAGGGCTGACTACGAAGAGGAGGCCCGAGGAGCAGAAGGACCGCCCTGAGGACGCGGGACAGAGGGGCTGGGAGGCAGGGGGGTCTCAGGAGAGGGCCGGGCTCCCCAGAATACCGGGACCCGGGAGAGGACGCGGCCTCACGGGAGCGGGGCGGCAGGCACCGTCCTCCAGGGGCCGAGAGGGCGAGGCAGGGGGCGCGAGTCCACCTGGACCGAAGGCTGAAAAGCCAAGGGCAGGGACCAGCCTCGGCCGTTTCAGACGCGAAGGAAAAGATACCCGACCTGGAGCGGCGACGTCGGGACTTGAGCGGCCAGAGGGCCGGGTGCTGGGGCTTTAGGTTCCTAGTGACTCCCACACCCTGAGGATGGAGGAAGGGTGACCGCGCAGCATAGACTTACACCAGAAAACAGAAACTTACTCTCTGCCACCCGATCCTCCCTTGGCGCCCCCCACTTCCGGTTCCGTAAGAAACTGCAGGCGCGCGGAGCTAGAGGCTGGACTTCCGGAGGCGGGGCCTGGGCGGGGCGCTAGCGGCGGGGGCGGGGCGAGGAGCGAGCGCAGGTCCGCGCAGTGAGGGCGAGGAACGCACGGTGCTTCCCCGTTCCTTGCAATTTTGCCGTAAAAGTTTACAGTTGTGGGGGTCAGTTATGTCGGAAACTAGGATGTTACCTCCTAACAAGTTGAAACGGTTTCAACAAAAAGCTGTTTTTGCCAGCAGGTGGCCCGCTTGTCCCGCTTGTGAGGCTCAAGCAATTCAGTGATTGGGAGCCTGGGTCTGCACGTGGTCGCTGTGGGGCGGTGGTGGATCCGGTAACATTTCCTAAAATTAGAATTAATTTAAGCAGTTTAAGGAAGGGAGTGCTGGACTTGTCTCTGTATTACAAACCAGAATGAGAAATACAAAACTCTCCCGGGGTAGATTGGACTGCTTAATACTAAAACCCAATGAACAGCGTTTCGTTTCTATTCTTTATTCACCCAGGACGCCAAATTCAACACTGTGCTCAATTCCAGAGACTTCCATGGGGACAAGACCTTGATATGCAGCGTGGAGAGCTAAGACGTGACAATTTAGGTCCCTTATCCTTGCTTTAAAAAAAAAAAGCAAGCATTTTTAATCAACTGTGTAAGTATGTCGACAAAAAAGTTTTCAATCTAAGAAAGGAATGGAATATTTTTTTAAGGCTAACCTGAGGATCATAACCTAAGAGAGAGTCCCTCAGAAAGCTCTGAGGGTTGTTTGGAAGAGATAAAGGTGGTGGCCAGTATATATGTGGTTTTGGCAAACGGGTACAGTGCAATTCAAGCACACATTGTGGTAGAAGCTTACTGCTATTGTTGAAGAATAGAAATTTTAGTTCATGGTTTTAGTGCTTTTGGAATATAGGAAGATGAAAGAAACTGTGTTCATAACATTTTCTCCTAAAAATATGTGTGGGCCAGTCCTTCCCATTTTCCCAGAGTGCAAAGTGCCTCACCCTAATCTGTCTGGATTCCTTCCAGGGTGTCCTGTGGGTCAGCGAATACAGTGGCTAATGGCTTGATTCTTGTAACGACTGGATGGTGGGCAACATTTTTTCTTTTATAATCCATTCCCTTTTGGTCTTAATTTCGGTCAAGGTTTGGGAGGCATTTCATGACCAATTTGTCCCACAGCGCTAGGAATGCTCATTCCTGAGTCAGGAGAGGATTTCATTGATTGGCCACTTAATGTGTTACTAGGCCCTAATAACAGCAGACAAAAGCCTCTAGACCACCCATCTCACTAGTCTGCTTTGTCAAGGTTCCCTCTTGTTGCTTCTTCTCATATCTGGAGTTACACTCTCACAATCATTGATCTTATAGGACCATATTTGGTCAAATGTTTCAAGTTGCATTAGTCATCATTATTTTTATTGGAGACTGAGTCACGCATTTGGTAATGCAAAAAACTATAACCTTGTAAAATAGGCAGAATGCAAGTAGAATAGCTGTTATCATTACTAAGCTCACAAGGAAGTATTTAAGCTAAGAACTTCCATAAGGTATGGCCCATTATCTCAAGGTTGTCTGACCAGTCTGTTCTGCACCAATCACTATGTTTAAGGGAAATTATGTATTGATAATGGTGACATAAAGTTCACCAACGTTGTCTGCACGTGTGAAGCGGGTCGTGGGTCCTCATGACCCTTTACAGGATTGAGAAGAATATTATCTATTAAGGAGTTTCATGGCTGGCACCAGATGAAAAATTGATCTTTATGGTTTAGCAGGTATTCCTGCCATTGGGGACGTCTAGTTAATGCATAATACAGCTGCACAGTGCACGCCAGAGGGGAGGGAGGAGAAAGGGCAGAGAAAAGATTTTATTAAAATTTTTCTCGTCTTGGCTTCTTCTTCTCTTCTCAGCTGAATAAAGAGCTGGGGCTCTGGAAAAGCCACAGCACATTATATTTTTTCTTCTTATAGGCAGGATTTTCTGTTTTGATCTGAATATTATCTCCATTTTGGAGCAAGAGAATGAGCCCTGGACTGTGAAGAGTGACATGAAAATAGAAAAACAAACAAACAAAACCAACCAAATAAACCCCGCCCCCCTCCAACCCCAACAACAAATGGATGGGAATGTATCTAAGTGTGAACGCAGGTCAGCAGGCAGAGAGGAACCGCACCAGTAAGTGTGTGGGGAACTCCCCAAGTGGGAGAGTTCTATGAGAAAACACAGGTTTATTTCTTGTGAACTCTTAGAGGGAATTTTTCTTCTCTCCAACTTACCACTGTTTCTCAACATGTAAAATTTATTCTTTCACCTTCCAGCGGTGCTGCAGCTCCAACAGAGACAAAGGCAAAGTCTTTATCATCATCTACAACACTGCCATCTGGCTCCTGTAAGCTCTTTGTTGTCTGATTGGAGGGGCACTTGGTTGGCTGTCTCAAAGGGGTCATTCTCCCTTTGGTCTCTCCTTTTGGACTTGATTCCATTGGGTGCTCAGTTCTTGGTCCATACCAATCAGAGCTGAGGCCTCTGCAGTCCTAACCTCTGGATCTATCCTGGTTTTATTACCATGGAGCTGTCTCAAGCCATCTCTGCCTGTAGAGATTTCTAAGCCATTTCTTTTGTTCTGCTTTTGCCACAGGCCTCAGAGTGTGTGTAGCCAGTGAACTGGTTGGATCTTCTCTAATTGCTACTTAGGAAAACTTTAAAGACACTGGACAGAGAGATCCTCTTTCTGATCTCCAGTCCTACGTGGGGAACATATACAGAGCTTTCATGCTCTTAGCCTGGCCACTGTGGGTAGACGGCGTGGTCCCAACGTTAAGATCCTACAATATCTGACGCCCCTTATCCTATGTTTTATTGCTCTTTCACCACTTCCCTAGTCTGGGAATGCAGACTCTTCCTGACTTCATAGTCTCAAGTTTCCATGATGTCATCTCTGAAACTTGCTCCTGAAATACACACTCCTAGGGTCTGAAACTTTATCCTGTTTTCTTGCTGTGATCAGACACTTTAGGTAATGAACATCTTCTGGTGGGCTCTCCTATGGGGTGGGTTTACGCTAACAGAAAATTCTTCATGGATAATACTTAACACTCATACGCTGCAACATTATCCTGCTATATAGAAGCCCTAGCCGAAGCTACTTCAGAGAGTGGTCACCATGTCCCAGGATACTGAGATAGATAGAAGTTTCCCATTTTCTTTTCCAGTTTTGAGAAGGGTCAAAAAGCATGTCTCAAGGGCATGGTGACAATGTTGATCACATATACTAATGATCATACCGTTTGTGCCACAGTGAATAATACAGGAATTTCCCCTAGGGACAACATTGTCCAAGTTCACATCCTCATCTCTCTGAGGCTGTTGACTAAACTATTGTTCATTCCAACCCAACAAATATAGTTTTGAATGGTCTTAATGAGGGAGCTCATGAAGCTGAATGAAACTTTCAGTTACATACCGTAATTGGTTGAGTTTAAGCTCTCCCTGTGTGGGTGTGTTCACCAGCCTGGCATGCTCTGCATCCCCTACTGTTGGGATTTTATTGCGGCTTCCTCATGGAAGCATAATCAATTTTTAGGGATAGGGCTGAAAATTCCTAGCTTCTGGTCATGGCTTGGTCTTTCTGGTGACCAAGCCCTCACTGAGGAGTCATCCAGGAGCCCACCCAGAGTCACCTCAAAACAAAAGATATTTCTGGAAGTCTTATAACTTAAGAGATTTACAAGGGTTTTAGGAACTCTGTGCCAGGAACCAGCGGCAGAGATCAATATACATGTTTTCTGTTATCTCACAGTTCTATAAATGTCCATTTGGTTAACTTCATTGATTGAAAGTATTTGTAGAATCTTCTAGGTACTGAGAGATTTTGTATTGTTCTACTATTATGGAGAGAGGGGCATGGAAATCTCTGACCCTAATTATGGATTCATTTCTCCTTGCAGTCCTGTCAGCTTTTTTCAAGGGTTTTTGAAGTTCTGCTTCTAGGTGCATGGTTCACAGTTGTCATGTCATTCTAATCAATTTATTCCTTTATGATTATGAGCCAGATTTCATTATCCCTGGTCTTCTTTGCTACTTAATGTGCTTTGATCTTAATATGGCCACACTATTTTGAATAGTGTTGATTTTTTCCCATTATTTTATTTTGTTCTTCAATTTTTGCAGTTCTTTCCTAATAGGAGACATATTGTTGTCTGTCTTTTAAAAACCCAAGTGACAAGTTTTTTTGTAAGTGACAGACTGCCTGGAGAACAGTAACTGAAAGTAGATTTATCAGTCTTACCTGACAGGAAGTGCAGACGGCACAGTGTAGGGTGTGACGGGTCCTCTGCCCCTTCTCCCGCCATGAGCCTCCACTTAGTCTTCACATCCCTTACGGCAACATGGCTGCTGTGTGACCAGGAAGGTGAAAGTTGAGGGACCAAACCCTTTTCATTATCAGATTATGCCTTGTTTGCATGGGAACAGTAATTCCAGATATTTTCCCCAAATATTAGTAGCTAGTTATGTTAAATGGCCACCATAATTGATAAGGAATTGGAATTTTCACATTTCATATTCAAATTTCAGTAACAGAGGAAAGGAAAGGAAAAGATGCTCAAGAAAACATTTTGCAGACCAAAGTAAAATACCTCTTATTAATGATATTAAATGACGAGCTAGTCAAGGATAAATGTGGGAAGAGATGTATCAACAGATTGTCTTTTTTCTGAGAGTGTAATATGCCATGCAAGTCACGGCCAGGTGTCTGAGGTGTCCCAAATGAGAGTTAAAGAATTATTAGAGCCCTTAGTGTTTTCTAAATTAAAGATGTATTTCCTTTCAGCTTTCTGAATCTAAACAAATTCTTCAAGTTTTAATATAGACATTCTGATTCTACTGCTAGTGTAGAAATAAAAGAATCCATTCTGAGATGTTACTCATTTGTGCCATCCTACCTGAGAGATATACAAAAGGCATGTAGATGGGAAATATTCTAATATCACCTCTAAATGTATTTTAATATGAGACTATACCTAATGGAAATGTAACTGTTATAACTCGGTAATGTCCAGAATTGGGGAAGCTACATTAACTAGTTCCCATGAAACAGTCAGTAGGAATTCCTTGGGAACGGCAAATATACTCAATTTAGGGTGAACACTTAAAATGTTAAAGTTGTTTGTTCTGAAAGACATGAGATAATTCTTTCTTACATTCTATTTCCCAATTATCTTTTTCATTTTTATTCATTTTAACTTCCACATATAACTGCATGGTGGAGATTACACCAACAGTATGACCTTCCTCACCCTTTTCATAGCCTCACATTCACAGCCATGTGTTCTCCTAACTTCTCAGCTCCCTTGCAACAAGGCAAGGCCTTGAGACCAGCTTTGCCAAATAGGGTGTGACTGCCATCAGAATGACAAAATCCCTATTTCTTAGAAATCACAATAGCACAGCCAACTTGCACTGTTACCAGTAAACCCAAGAGAAGTGAAAACACACATCCACAAGGACTTCTTGTAAGAGGCTCACAGAAGCATTTTCCCTAGTAGCCAAGATGTGGCAAGAACCCAAAGCTCCATCAAATGATAAACTGTGGACCATCACTACTCGGCAACAAAAAGCGACGAGGCACTGACGAAAGTCACCACGTGGACGACCCCTGTAAACGGCAACCTAACTCAAAGAGGAGAGAAATACGGCCACAGAGTATGACTTGATTTATATGACATGCCCCCAAAGTGCCACTTTCACGCAGAAAGTG